ACCTACTACACCAAAAATTACTGCTGCCCAAGGGTACACGAAACCACAGGCTGGTGTTATCGCAACCAAACCAGCTACTGCTCCGGTAGCGACCCCACAGGGATCAATCTTTCTGAACAAAGCAAATTCAAGGCCAACCCATGTCAAGAATCCTGCACTTGAAGACAGATGCGTGTTGACAGCAGCTATGGCAGCGATGCCGTCCGCCGCGCCCTGCGAGCCAGCGTTGAATCCAAACCAGCCAAACCACATTAGTGTGACTCCAATCATTACAAGAGGTATATTATGTGGTTTTACAGCTTCATTGTGATTGTACCTTTTTCCAACCATCAGAGCAGCAGCGAGAGCACCAAAACCACTAGAAATATGGATGACTGTGCCCCCAGCAAAATCAATAGACCCCATTTTTCCCTCCCAGCCCATGTTTGTAATTGCCCAAGAATCATCTACTTTCAGAGACCACATCCAGTGGGCTAGCGGGTTGTAGACCAGCGACGTCCACAAAAAGATAAAGAGCAGAAAAGTCCCATACTTCATGCGACCGACAATGCCGCCGCTAAGAAGCGCTGGCGAAATCATAGCAAACTGGGTTTGGAAGAAGGCAAACAAAATATGCGGAATTTCAGTGCCGTAAGTGCCGCTCGGAGTTTTTCCCACATTGTTATAAGCAGCCCACTCGAACATGCCATTGGATCCAAATGACACAGAGTAACCAAAAGCCCAAAATTGAATCGACACTAATGCCATGCTAACAAATGACATCATAATAGTGTTTGAAGCAATTTCACCACCAGCAAGACCGGCGTAAAAAAAGGCAACTCCTGGTGTCATGATCATGACCAGAGCGCTAGCCATTAACATCCATGCCGTATTTCCCGAATTCACCGCTTTGTCGTAATCGGTTTCAGCCTTTTCACCTCGTCCTTTGTAGTTGACGCAGTCGCCCGTGATCTTGTCCGTGTATTGCGAGGGCAGACATGTAGCATTTGAGCTAAAGTCACTCTGAGTTTCAACAATGCAGGCGAGACTTGATAGCAGCGCTGCTGCTACGAGTACCCGTGATTGCCAATACATTGCCACAAAGCTGCGCGGTTTAAAGCAAGTTTCAAATTGAGCGTACACAAATAAACCAGGCCTGAAGTACTGGTACCTTATGCTAAGTTATGCATGTTCTAAAAGCATGAGGCCCACATATTTCTTTTTGACGCTATACCACGTTTGTTAATGAAGAGCATGAGTTAACAAGATAGAACCAATGGATCGGCTCCACAAATGAAGTCGACACAGGGTGCGAGAACACCGCGACAAGACAATATGCAATTTAGAAATCTTATGTGCATTTCAGCTGTTTCGGATGAGCACATAACCACGTGAGAGGCCAAAAGACTGGCTTTTTACCGAGTGTTCTCATAAAAAACGGTACGTACGAAATCTCAGTATGAGATTATGCAGCTCCAAATATAGTGTGCGGACACAATATGCAATTGTCCCTCGGACCTCTTTAGTGCCAAGGTAAAAACCAAGTGAGGGTGATGGATCGTTTCTGAATGGGAGTTCGTTACACGCTACGAATTTTACAGGGATTCATCATGATCTATATGCGGTCTCTTGAAATAGTGGACCCAACGAACTTACTATGTCAGGTGGACTGCAACCCCTATATATGTGGTAGCGCTTGCTTGCAACTCGACAATCAATTCTTAATACGGTTGCATCCATGTGAGAGTGTGTCACAATTGGATTATTTGGGACAACAAACATGCTTAGCGAGCTTTCGCTTTAGTCGACCACGAAGCGATGTGCGCAATTCGCAATAGGTGCGACTGTCTGTCTTTGATGTGCAACGAAACAGCTAGCGTCTATGTACACGACCGAGTAGTCAAGTTTATCGAATAAACAGCTCATCATACATGACCATAGATGCAACCTTCGTACACTTCGCGATGCGCTCGAAATTGTTGTGCATTGCAAACAACTAACTTTGAATTGTAGTCAATTTTCAGATCGATCTCAGTCATTACTTGGTGGCAAAAGATACAACTGGATGAAATGGGGGGGTAAAAAGACTTTTCCTTTGAACTGCCGTTACAGCAAGCCCCAGTGTTCCATTTGCCAAATAACAAAAAGTCATTAGTTGATGCGTTAAAATACTAATGTGAGGCCATTGTCTCCCAGCTAGACGAATATAGGCAATGAACAACTCGTAGCCCTTTGGTATAAGAACCTGGATCTGTTTGAACGCGATTGGCCAGCTCCTGACGAATAGTTGTATGCAAAAAAGGTTGCGTTGAGCAGGGATATATTTATCTCACAAGCGCTTGACTTGAGTATTGCAGCTCATCCGGGTATGAGACGAACACAATTTGATGTCTCCAGTGGTTTTACTAGAGAAACATTGACGAGGACGTAAACTGTTCGTATTCAAACGCAAGACTCTTAGTCGACACAAGACAACGAGTTTGCAAGCCAAAGGGTAGATGAAATCGATTACCACGCCAACTACATGCTGGCTCACGATTTCGATGATTTGAATGCCTGGGTTCTCAAGAATCGAGGATAAAAAAACAGTGATGACTGTGATCGCAAAAATAAATTCCGACGACAGCGATAGCAGATGCTCCCTCGATCGGCAGAATAATATATCAATAATGTAGTCTGACACCATGGAGTGCCAAATATGATCGTATGTGATCTAGATCCGAATTTTACTCTGGACGCTTGGAGGGTATGACTACCACAGATCGAGCACTGGCAGATGTTGCAGTGGAACACCAAAACAGAATGCCAGAATTTTCTTACGTTGCTAGCTCCGTGTTGTGAAAAAGATCGAGTGGATCATTAAGCATCAACTGAATATGTTCTTCGGTCGTTTACATCATTTACTTCATTTCAAACTGTTACTGACGATCGAGACGCTCCTTCGCTTCCCAACGGGGAGTTTCGCATCCAAAGATTAGGGTCACGTTACAGTTTACACAAGCTGACATGTTTGCAATAACTTTGGGATATGAAAAATGTAAACCATTTTTTCTGCTATAATATTAAGGCTCAAAGAACACTGTATGGCTTAAATAATGAGGTAACGCCAATTATTGTATATATGAGGTATGCTTGAAATAGCAAAACAAACTAACATCGTGATACAGTAGGAGTTCTATTTTCGCGCCTGTCACACCTGATCGGAAGACACAAGCTAAACATCGGTGTATTTACTAACGCGGACCATTTGGTTTAAAGTGTTCACTGTACTCTGGGGACAACAAACTCGCTGGGATCTCAATATGAAGCGCCGATGTCGAATCATGGCCATATTTCTCGGCATAATTTCGTCACGGCTGTATTGTAACAGTTTAGGGTGTCGCTGACAGTAGCGACGATGCCGGCATTATCACGCGTCCTGTAAAGAGCAAACCTAAGTTCATAATAATAGACTACTAACACTCATCTGTGAGCAATAAACTGGCCAAGCGTACGGATGAGTATGGTAGGGGTGGGATTGTTGGCGAATTTCACATGTGCGCTGATTAAACCTTTTTATATTTGTACATTTTAGCCCTCACCGAATTGCATCTCTTTTCCCTACCGATGTGGCTCTTCCGAAGGGTGAAAAAATCAGATACATAATGCAGTACGAGAAATATCTTTGTTGCAAAGTTCTGTGATGAGTCCTCGTCATGAGACACCACTACGCGCTGTGAGTCAAATAGGTTGAAAAATTGTACTACTCAAAAGCTTCATGTATTTTAAGCTATCATAATTGCAGCACATGCTGCGTCTGATCTAGACCGTACGTTATGCCTCGTCGAAATGCTACGTCAGTATCCTAGTAGCGACTGCCTTTGGCACGGGAAGCGACGAATGTTTTACTGACCAGTTCTTCTTTAAATGCCTTTGGCTGGCAAAAATGATGCGTTCATATCTGATGTCATTTGTGTTGAATTAGTACTGCCTACGGCACAGACCGGGACATACCATCTCGTAAATTGGCACATTTTAATTTTTGTGCGGCCGAAATACAGCGGGGCTGCCGTAGCTGTTTAAGGTCACCAACCTTACGTTTCACAAAAACCAGTTCGAGTGCAGCGGATCGCATATTGTTGCCTCCAAGAGTACTTAAAGCATTAGCCAAGGTAAATAGACTTTTCCGTTCAAAACTGAAACTGTATTTAATTGTTTTGATTGCGATTGAGTCACCAACATCTAAAACCTAAAATTTTCCGAATTCATATAGTAATATAGCAGAACCTTTTAATATGCATTACTACTGGCAATCCTGCCACGTAGTGGCAGCTTGTTACGGTGTTGCCACACCACTGTGTGATAACGCCAACAGGTGTAATCCACACCTATGTACGGTCACACCATCTTGTGCGACCCGTCCTTTCATACAAGGTACGTGTAACCCCGTACACTCTCCCCCATTTAAATTGTGAGTATCCACAAATCACGTTTTCTGGTCATCTGATGCGAGGTCGCATGTCCGAGACACTATTACTCTCGTGAAAACAACCTTAAAAAATTCTCCGCTCAATGATCCCTGTGTCTGTGGCACGCAAAACATCCAGCCTAGCTGGATCCGAGGGTGCCCGCGAGCAGAGCTCTTCTTCGTCTTCTGCACAGGGTGCATCTCCGGACAATACGTCCGCGGCTCACGGAAAGCACATCCCAAGTCCTCCGCAACCGAGCGCAACACTACGCGCCCGCCCCGGGCGACAAATTTTCTCATCGAGGATTTGAAGAGAGTCGACTACGAGTCGGGTACTCTTTTCCAAGCATGGGAAGACGAAGAGGACGAGGTGCGCCGACGGTGAGACGTAACGTTGCGGACACCGTGTCCGTTTTTCGACCTTTCGACTTCCGGGGGAAGTGGTATTGTTACCAATCGCCTCGACAAGGCACAGGAGCAATTATTAGAGGCTGCCCACGGGTCAGCTTTCTTGCGCTCGTATCCACGTTCGGTTCTAGACCCTCGCTCGACTACGAGCTCAAAAAGGAAGCGCTCTTACACCCGCTATGCGGACTTTTTTCTGGTGCTTACCCCTGGTAAAACATCTGCAGATAATGAGAGGCTCTTTGAGCGATGGGTACAGCGACACCGGAATTGTCTTCTCTGTCAACCTTACAGCGAAGCCAGATGGAGTTGGGACGTGCGCGTAGAGCACCATCTCCAGTTCGAGTTTGCCAAACTCAAGGCGCAACGCCGACTTCCTGCGTATTTCTGTAAAACATGGAAAATCTATCGTCGTTTCGCGAGCTCTGTGGTGTCTCTATGGGTGAGTCTACAACCACGCAGATCAGGGCCATAGTTTGAGCTCAGCTCATGGCTTACCGGCTTACCGGGCAACTTCCGAGAATCGCAAAGCGCACGACAATGCGAGACGTCATGACCCCTTTTGATAATAAGCGTCCATGACGTTTGGACAGTCTCACCGATGTTGCACCGCCAATTTTCACGAACTTAAAAGTTTGGGTATCCCTGTCACTTCACAAGATATTGGGTTAGTTCCTGTGGACGATGTCGACCCACAAGGCGTTCCACGCTGTAGTGGACGCCACCATTCTTCAGCGGCGGGCGATGAAGACTTGGTCGATCGCCGTCCGTGACTCGCGATGCTCTTTGAGCATTGAAGGACAAAGTCTATCGTCTTCGACACTCTGCCGAGCTTTTTTCCACGGTTGCCTACCGCTGTGCGAAAGCCTCCGAGAGCCTGGAGCGCGTTGTGCACTGATTGCCTCACGTAGAGACTTCGTGTGCTCCGTCAGATGGGCATGTAACCGTTAAGCAAACTTTGTGCGACGGTGGATGGCCTTGCACCGTTGAAAACGGAAATTGTTGCACTTTATGCTCAAAACCAGTTGCTGGTTCAGCTACTGGGTGGCCTAGCCACTTTGAGCGCCGCATCGGGGCAAGTGAGCGCTTTCGCGCTCACTCGTATAACTT